TTAGCTATTGTTAAATTGTTTAGGATGTACATGCGTATCGGGCCTCTGTTTGGATTGTAGTAGTATAGAACTTGTGCGTGGGCCTGACCCACTTCTATTTTTCAGGTACACGACAGTTCCAGGCTTAGACATGTTCGTGCTGAGCAGAGGTCTCTATTCACTCTTCCGACGATGTAGGATTCTCTCCATAGTTTATTTCTAGATACTTATTACAGTTGCTTTATTTTCCGTTTGGATGTTTAATAAGGGTCCACTAGAGATGGATTTCCGAGTTGTAAATTGATGGAGTTTTGGAGTTTGGGTTTGATGGATTTAATAATTATATTATTTTACTGATTCTATTTTTAGTTCCTTTCAGCTTTAATTTCATTTCTTAATTCGTTTTGTATTCCGTGTTCATCATAAAATATTAATTGTTAGATATTCCCCTGGGTTTGGGCCTAGGCCTGATCAACCCGTGTCTCGGATCCGAGGGGTATCACAACTTCCACTCCTACTAGAAACAAAAATCATATCACTCCTAGAGGAACATTTATTCCTGAACTCCAGTAACCTCCATCTTTAACACTTCAGTATCTCCTCCATCTTGATCTTCTTCGTGGTCTTCCTCTCCACTTGGCTCAGCTTTGAGCACCGCCGAAGTTGTGTTGGGTCCACAGTATGGTGGCCAATCTCGCACACTAGAAACCTTCCTTGGCTTGTACTCCGAAGCAACACCTATGGGAACCAATTCCTTAGTCTCTAATTCTGCCTTCTTGGTCGGCTTTCGCAGGGGAATTATCGGAGTAGACTTCCTCTTCTTTTGGTCCCTCTTTGCTTTCATCGTGGATCACATCCTTCTCCTAGTGCCAAACATTATGAAATTACAGAATAAACTTGACATCAGTACATTTTAAATGAACCGTAAAGGAATTCAACGAATCATAAACTTAAACTCTAATCAAGAGAAAATAATACGCGGAAGTCTTATACGAAACATCCTAGATACACTTGAACCTAGAGTGCTCTGATACCAACTGTGATACCCCTTGGATTCGAGACACGGGTTGATCAGGCCCAGGTCCAAACCCGAGGGAATATCAAACAATTAATAATTTAGCAAACACAAAATACAAAACGAATTTAGGAAATAAACATTTAAGCTGAATGAAAACTAAAGTATATAATCCTTTTAAAATTTCAAAATCCCAAATAATAAGTATTAATCCATCTCTAAAACCTCAAAGAGATACATCTCGGGAATCCATCCAGTGGACCCCTAATAATAAAACCAAATTGAAAAATAAATCTACAAAGAATCCATAAATAAATCATGGAGAGCTTAACAAATATGCTTAAGTAAACCAATACAGAAAACATAACCTGATCACACAGGACTATGCCTACAAATAAAACTCTATTCCCAGTTTCCATATGATTAACAGAGCCTAAAATAGATATTGTCTCACTCAATTCCATGGCATGCCAAATAAATCTAGGCAACTTATCGTACTGTTAATTTCCTGTCCAAACAGATTGATGCGCTAAATACTAAAATTTAATCATCAATAAATCCTTAACAAAATATAGATTTCTAGCAAGTATTTTTATTCAACAAATATGTAATTAGCAGTGGACAAGTCCTCACAGGAATTTCTAGAATAATTAAGAAATATACTATCAAAAACCACACAGGTCTGCAAGGCACATAAAGTTTCAATACAATTTTAACGATTAAATCTCGGTGACTAAATCTGTATTATTCTATCCCTTGAGACTTTAAACCTACTCTGAACAACCTCTAATACCTCCATCACAGTATTTAATTCTTCTTCAGAAAACTTAGAAATTCAATAACCAAAAAGCTTCCTCACTGAAAACTAAAAAACAAAACAAATATAACGTAAAAACCATAAAGGAACAACCTGGAGCAGGCTCCAAAACCTTGGAGCCGCCTCCACTTCAAGGAGAGCCAGCTCCCTCCAAGGGAGAGCCGGCTCTCTCCCTCCTTTGCCTCGTGTTTTCTTCTTCAGTCATCGTCTACACCTCCGGCACTTCACAGCTTAGGTTCCCAGAGGTTCTAACTTAGTCCCAGTAGATTCCAACCCTTATTTAAATCTTTATTATATTTACTAACATGGAATTAAACAAAAAACAGTGCAGGGAAAAATTCAAGTTTAAACAATTTATCAAGCATAAAAGTTACGATTGAAATTTTAAATCATGGAAACAGATTACGTTTTTTTTTAAACATATAATCCATCCTGGAACTATTTAAGTATGCAAAGAACACGAAGCCTAAGGGAGAGACTTAAGACAGAACTTGCCTTTTTCTAATTGTACCATCCTACCAATCACTTTTGTCCTTTTTCTAAAAATATCTTCAAAATATCCAGATTTGTCTTTATCCAAAAAACACCACCATTGAGGATCGATTCAACTTCAATTCGATAGATCTCAGCCATGTTCGATCGATCCAAGTCCAAGGTTCGATCGATCGAACTTCCTACAGTGCGAAAAAGTTAAATTTCTAGCTCATTGAAAGTTATCCTTTATCCAATCATTGGGGAATATTTTGTGCACGACCCCAGCTCATTTTGTGTGTCATTTGACCTATCTATATAAGGATAAGGATTACTTTTTACACAAGAACATACCATATCACATCATATCATCTCATACCTTGTAAGAACTCTTGGAGAGCAAGCTTAGATGAGGAGGAGGCTAGAAACACCATTGGAGACTCTTCATCAACCAAGGAGCAAATCTCTACCATGGAGTTAGCCCTTGAGGGTTGGAGAAGCACGACCATGAGTGGCTCGACATCCTCTTGGGGCTAGAGTTAGCCCCGAGCATGCTTTCTACATCTTGATTTTGTGTATTATTGAGGGATTAGTGTTGTAATTTATGTTTTGGCACTTTTATATATATAGATCTTGTTTATTCAATGATTTTTGTGGTTTAATACTTCTAATTGAACATTTCATTCTATCCATATGTCTATGTATGCTAGAATAGATGTTCATGTGTTTGTCTCTATTTCTTATGTTATTGATGCATGTCTATGTGTATTAATGCCATAGATCTAAAGATTGTCAAAACATTGTGCTTAATGGAATGCTCTTGTAATTTTCTAGATGATTCATGCTCATTTCTTGATGGATTGTGCCTCTCCCTTAGCTTAATTAGTTTAATTTCATGTCATTAGCTTAATTGTAGTGTAGTGGTAGCGTAGTTGTTAGATGGGAGGATAATCCATGCTTGTTGTTTGATGTTCCATACTTTTGAATGCAAGTAGCATATGTCTCTAACTTGTGGTGTATTTGGCTTGTGAGCTTAATGAAAGAATTAATAACTTGCTAGATATATTGTGCTTTTCATATGCTATTTGGACAATATATATTTAATTGTTAGATATATTGTGCTTTTCACATGTTGATTAGATAATGTATACTCAATTGGTCACCCTTACTAGTTAAATCAACCAAACACACACACACATCAATATTGTAACACACATTTTCCTCATTAGTCACTTGTTAAGGGTGTAGAAAAGTATCGCTTGGTGGTGACCTCTAAACCCCAAAATCTCTCTCTCTCTTTTACTTACTCTTTATTGCATTCAATTATTTAGTTTAATTTGCTCTCTAGTTTAATCAACCAACCAACTATTTGTTTGATCATTCGACTTACTAACCCTAATAGCGATTCCACAACCAAATTCGACTCCAATCCCTTGGGACGATCCCTAATCACCATAACTATATTTTTAGTGAAGGTATTAGTAACTTCTATAAATGTAAAACTTGGCCCTCGCCTTAATGCACACTTTCTAAGCTTGTGGTAGGAGGACGACGTAGCCGCCACCAATATACATCTAGGTTTAGTACAACTTTTGCATTATAATTTCATATTTCATAAAAGCCTTAAGAAGATTATTTTTGCAGAAAATTCAAGTTGATTTCTTTGTCAGTCTTTCTAGAACGTACACATAAACACAAGAGTGAGTTTAGAGTATTGTTCAAATCCTGATCGTGATCAAAGTCTTGCATCTACAACGATCAGAGAAAAACAGATCTACTTCTACATCGAATTCAGATATTGAAGAACAGAAGTAAAAGTGATCACACTTTGAAAGGGTCAAAGCATTCGTGGAGTGTTGTTTGATCTACTTGTAACCTTCTACAGAGATCAAGCATAAGCCTGAGGTCAAGTGCTGTTGGACGAGACATTGCAAAGCCAGAGGATTGTCAGTTATTGGTATTTGGTAGAACGATAGGGTGTGACCCAGAGTTAAAGTTCAGTGTACTTTGTTTCATACAAAATGGATCAATTTACTTTTGACTGCACAGTCCAGGAGATTTTTCCTACGCAAACAATTGGTCTATTTTACCAATGGGGACTTCCTCGCTAAAAATCCTGGTATCATCTCTAACTCTTACTTTGCTTTATTTTATCTTTCATGAGATTAATTATGTAATTGCTAAAATAAGTAAAGATTAGAAAGACACAAATCTGCTTATAAAAATACAAAACTTTCTAAATATTCCGCTGCGTACAACTCACAATACCATATGATGTTCTCGATGGATGCAATTGTAAGAAACACTTGCTGTTCAACTCTAAAAGACTAAGACTTAAGATAAACATAGATTACAACTCGATCATTTAGTTTTGACTCTGAAATTCGCCAATATTACAATGGTATATCTCACAATATATTGCATGGATGTTTCATCTTGAATGCAAATATATTGCATATATTACAACAATGTTACATATAGTGTTATGTTATGATATAGTGTGTTGTATAATTGGTTTAATAGTGCATAGTATGAGCACTAAACGGATGAGAAACAGAAGAGGATCTAGATTATTAGTTGAACAATGCGGAATGGTTGTGGAATATAATATGAATAAGCAACCTAGAGGGGGTGAATAGGTTCAACTTGCTCTTTTATTCGATTTTTGCTTAAATTAAATTTACTGAAATAAAAGTAAATTAAACAACCCACAAAGCAAAGAATAAGTGTAAGGAATGTAGAGTAAAGTTTAAGATACACTGCAATTTTTAACAAGGAAAACCAATTGGAAAAATCTCAGAGACTTTCACGCTGTCCCAAGCAAAATGATCCACTATGTATGAAGCAAAGTACAATGAACTTCGACTCAGACTCACTCCTTCTCACTCTACCAAGAACCAATAATTGTTGATCGTCTTTGGCTTTCGACTCCCCCATTCAACAGCTCTTGACTTTAGGTTTACTCCTTTGATTATTGTAGATCAAACAACACTCTGCAAATACTTTGACCCCTTCAAAGTGCGATCGCTTCCTCACTTTCTTCAAATCTGATTTTGATGAAGAATAATAGAAGCTCTACTTTTTCTTAACGATATCAATGTACTTTCAATTATTTGGACTCTGATCAAATAGAAAACAATATCCTAAATCACTCGTGTGTATAATATGTACAAACTCAATTATGAAAAATAAAAAAATAAAAAATAAACAATTAAATTCTATGGATGGAAAGGAATGCGAGGCAACATTATGATATTATTAGGGATTCTAGAATTTTGGTTAAGCATATTATGTGAGAAGTAATGGATGTAATGGGGGTATGTCTCGAAGACATTCTGTAACTGGTTCTCTTCCTTGTATGCCCAGGGTTCTAGTTATTTGTCTCTAAGGAGTTCGTGTTGTTTGTGAGGGTATGCCCTCACTTCTCCTCTTGTACTATATTGTTTGTATCTATAAAATTTTCATCCATTTAGGAAAAAAATAAAAATAAAAATAAAAATAAACACTCAAAAAATCTCACAAACTTGGCTCTCTAAAAATTGTAAAAAATTATGTGTAAAAGCCATAGAAAATCCTGAGACAAGGTATTTAGATAGTTTTTTTGAAGACCTAAAAACATTTGGAAAACAAGTTTAATTCATGCATAAAAGTCTCCCAAAATTCTGATAAAAAAAGAGTCCTAATTGGAATATAATTGCAATTACCATATTGGTTTCAGGGTAACTCAACCGGTTCCATTTAGGCGCAATTGGTTCCACTTGACCACTGTGTTAAAGTTCAAAAACTTATTTTGAAAACCAATAGTGCAACTGGCTCCATTGACACGCGACCAGTTTCTCTATGCCAGTGAGATTTTCTTCAAAAAACAAAATTTGGCAAACAAGGACTGCAACCGGTTGTGTTAAACCGCGACTGGTTCCAATGTGGCAGTGCACTTTGAAAAATCAAGCTGCGAAATTTTTCTAAGTGCCTAACACCAGAACTTAATAAAATTAAAGTGCCTCACCAACATATCATTACATTCCCTAACATACGAATCAAAAAGTAAACGCATACTAATTCACTAGTTGTTCTGCTTCTGATATTGAAATTCAAAGTTAAAACAAAAATTAAAAATCAGCCGGACCCATTTTGACACCAAAATTTATCGATAACAATATTATATCTCACACGGATCTTTTAACTACAACCCATGATTACACACATGCATACGTAGTTGAAAGAATAAAATACCAATTTGGATACGTATTGGACCATCTTCCCAACTTCACATGGGAGAGAAATGCCTTGACAAATGACAATAATATCTGGTTGCACTGTCAATGTAGGAGGAAAAAGCCAGTTGTGGGGACAATTGTACTGTGGGGTCCAGCATTGGTCAGTGGGCAATCAAGCCAAAATCTAAAGGCTCCATCCATGCATCAGAGTCTAGTAGGCAAATGCCCCCACAAGGCCACACCACAAGAAAATAATAAAAGGGGATTATAATGGACATAGCACTTAATTAACCTCTCAAGACTTTAATCCAAAGAAAAAAAAATAAAACAACATGAAAAGAGCAATCTATCATTTTCTTAACTTTTTCACAGCCCACCTTGTCCCAACTCACAAAAAATGCTCCTTTGACATGGTCAATGGCCAATACATAGATGGAGAAACAATTAACAAAAGTAATATCAAGTACTTTCAATTGATTTATATAGAAATTTCAAACTAGTGGGTGATTAAGACATGGAATCTTTACAGACTAACCCACCAAGTGTGTGTGTGTGAGAGAGAGAGAGAGAGATTGGAAGAATACCTCTTGGCTGTCTTTTTCTTCTGATTAAAATGGAACTGAACCAACTTAACCAACAAAGATGTTATATACATACATACATATATATATATATATATACACACACAAACATATACATACAAGGTGATTAAAATCTAAGTTCTTAGGTCCTCTCCACTTCTGGTAGACTCTAATAATTGGTCCACTTCCCAACTTTCTCTGGGCGCAACTCTGTCATGTATTGGGGCATACTCCTGCAATATCATCAAATCAATAACAAATTATTCCACTTCTTTTTTTACTGCAGCACCATTTTTTTATCATGTCCAATAATTCAGCAACTAACCTACCTAAGTCATTACTCCGTCCCGCCCAATTTAGTCAAAAAAAAAAATAATTCTTCCATTTAATAAGTCAGAGATAAATGCATTTTCCTATAAATGCACTATTAAGTTTTAAAAATTTTCCCAATATGATAATATATGAAAAAAGATAAATTTGTCCATCAGTATTTGTTATCTTATTTTTATTAATAAAGAGTTCTTCTTGGATTCTATCTCTTGGACTTGCTCAAAAAAATCTATGAGGTATTGTAGCATTACTTAATAATATATAAAACATTATAATACCCAAAAAGATTATTAATATGGGACGGATGGAGTATAAACTATAAAGTAAAATAATGCATCTTTTAATCTTAAAAAATAATTTTCTTTTTCATATATACACACACATATAATATACACACACATATATATATATATACACCTCCATTTTCTTGATTAACTCCTCTGCCGTATCAGCTGAGAGCACAATATGTCTTGCTGAATCTTCTATGAAACCTTCCTCCACTCCTTTATCAAATAATGCAAGCAAGCTATTATAGTACCCATCTACATTTAACAGCCCCACCTGTTAACAAATTCTATCAAAATTTATAATTTCAAAAAAGTAAAAAAGAAATCATCTCCTCTAGGCCTATTCCACAGTTTGGGAAGAAAGAAAAGATGTGATCAAAGATTTAAAGGAAAAAAAAAATAAGATAAAAAGATAATTAATTATGTAAAAAAACTTACTGGTTTCTCATGAATTCCCAACTGAGACCAAGTTATCATCTCCAATAATTCTTCCATTGTTCCATATCCCCCTAAACATGCAAGTTGATAGTTTAATTTCTAGAACGTGCACACACACACACACACACACACATATATACACATGCATATATGTATGTATAAGTAATATTAAGTTGAAGAATACTAATGATGTTATATATATAAGGTATTGTAATATATGGATTTGGATTGAAAGCAGATACCGGGAAGTGCTATGAAAGCATCTGCATTTTTTGCCATCTCTGACTTCCTCTGGTGCATGTCTGCAACTGTTTTAACTTCTCCAATGGTCTCTCCTGATATCTGCAATGGGGTTTTGTCACAAATATCATTTTCTTTAATTAAAAGGTAACATATGAACAAAAAAAAAAAAAAAACTCCAAAATATATGATTGGTATATATTTTTAAGTGTCACGTACCTCATGCGGCAAAAGAGCTTTAGGAATTACTCTATACAAGAAAAAGATGAAGATATATATGTAAATTTTGTTAGTTAACCTAAATATATATATAAAACAAAACCATAGATTATTGTGGCAAAATTTTGAAATATACCCAAAAACATGGCAACCACCATCAAAAACAGTTCTAGAGATCAACCCCATTAGACCAAAACTCCCTCCACCATAAACCAAATTTATCTTTCTCTCCACCTGACATTAATTAAGAAGCAAGAGCTCCTAAGTACAAAAAGAATAATGACAAGAAGACACAAATTGAAGGATATTATATAGTAGGAATAGTTAAATGGAAGATATATATATATATATATAGATATATATACACACACATGCACACTGATACATACTACATACCATCTGTTTGCCAAGCTCAAGAGCTGCATCACTAAAAGCTGACTTGTATCCTGCTCTGCTACCACAGAAGACACAAATTCTCTTAAACCTTCTCTTGTTTTCGTCTTTTGTAGATTTCCCTTCATTTTTATCCATATTTCCAAGAAGTTTATGCAGAGAGAGAGAGAGAGAGAGAGAGAGAGAGAGGGAGAGGGAGGGAGAAAAAGGGAGGAAAGGAAATGGAGAAAAGAAAATATTGGTAGTATGAGTGGAACATAAGCCGACACCCCTGCTTTAGAATATCATGATTCGTTTTGTTCCAAACATCCCCTCTCGTCTAAAATGTTGGATAGGAGCCCAACACGAGTCACTAGACCATCTCTCTCTCTCTCTCTCACTCACTCACTCACACACACACACAATAAATATTTGTGAAGAAGATTTGTTGAAATCTACGGCATGCCCGTACCTTTGTCTTTCCTTTTGTGTCCATATGACCCAAATTCCAATATATACCTTGCTTTATCATTTTGTTTTTCCCCTTAGGTATTGATTGCATTGGGTATTTGGAAAAATAAAAATAAAAAAATTTGACATGTAGTGCACAATCGCACTAATTCAATTATTTGATGTGAGTAAGGATTGACGTTAAGGTGATATTGACATCATTATGGTCCGTTATCAGACTCTCATTGGTGACTCTTAAAAAAAAGAAAGATGAAATAACCGAAAAATAAAAAAAGAATGATGATTCCATCGTTTTTTCAATATATACTAACATTCTCCTTATTTTTCGAAGTACACTTACCTCCCTTAGATTTATACGTAAATAACAAACACATTCCTCCTTTTTCCTTGAGATTTATATGTAAATAACAAACACATCCCCCTTTTTTAGCAGTCAACCATAAAAAAAAATGTTGATGTTTCAAATTCCAATTCTACCCATGGAATACACGCTTATTGCAATAAAATACCATATATATATATAAGGAGAAAAACATAATTAAAAACCCAACAAGTCTGATAGGAGAAGTTAATATAATTTGGCAAAAAAAAGAAAGATCAATGTATATTAAAAAAAAAAAAAAACCCTCATAAGAGATCAATGTAATTTACCCTTCCTAAAATATGTTTATGACAATCTCTTTCCATCCCTCTTACCAAATAAAGGAAGGGGTGGCCTCATTCCTTTACCTTCCACTCAACCAAACAAAAGGATGGGTGGACATGGGGCACCCTCTATTTCCTTAAGGATATATGTTTCTGCCAGCTCCTATCCCTTCTCTATGGTGGCAAATTATGTTCCAAAGTTATGTTTTGAGCGTTAGAGTGAAAAAAACATATTGTGTTGTATTTTCAGGACACTTTTTCAAAGTTGATTTTTGATGCTAAGTTCAAGACCAAGATGGAAGTTACATTAGAATATCTCAACAATGTGCTCCATGACACTTAATCTCATAGGCCAAGGTAAGGAAGACCTTAGTATTTAACTTAATTAAATTTTGATAACGGTTTTCAAATGCTTTCAAGAGTAAAATTATGTTTCGAAAACATTGGAACATTATTTGAGTGAGTCATCAAACAATATTGTTACTCAAGTATTGACTCTAGATGGGGTGAATAGAGTTTATGACAAACAATGACTAATTTTTCGGATTAAAAGATTTAAGTATGACTATGCAATATCAATAGAAATTGTGCGATAAACAATATGTTAACATAATCAAACTAAGCACATTTTAAATGAGATATAGGAAGAGAGATTCAAACATAAATGACATGCCGATTTAGCGAGGTTTGGAACACTTACTCTTTGGTTCAAGATCCCTATTGAGACTTTGCCAAATTCGCTATGACTTCTCCTTTCAGTGGAGTCAAAACCTTTATGAGAAGCAAACTTCTTCTTCTTCTTTTCTTATTATTTTTATTTTTATTTTTATTTTATTTTAATGGTAACGGGAAGCAAACTTGCTTCTTCTTCTTTCCTGCTAAGAGAACCTTATTCTCTTAGACTTCATTTGAGTCAAACCAACCCTTATAATAATTGTAGGAAGATTAAAGTACATTAATGAATATCTCTCAAAAAAAATAGATAGCTTAAATTTATGCTCATAAGACTAGAGTTTTGATGATTCTCAAGGCTATTGAACGAGAAGAGTGAGAGAGTGAATAGTGTGTTGAATGCTCAAATGATAGTTTCTAAAGACTCATAAATGTTTCTCGCAAGTTGTACATCTTGTACATATATAAATGACCCAGCCATTTTTATTGAGTTTTTTTGATACTAAAAAGAGTTGTTAGGGGTGCATTTAATGCAAATTTAGCCATTTGATTTCAAATCAGCCATAAACCAGACTGATACAAAAACCAGTCGACTGATACAGTCGGCTAAAATGTTGCGTCATTCAATTCTCAACTCTCTGGATGAATCAGTAGGCTCATTGGGTTCAAGCAGTCGGCTGGTTGACCCTAATCATTTAATTTTGACACTTTTGAAGGTGTCTTGGGCCTTGGAATTGATATAGGTCGTTATATGAATATCAATGACGTTTAAGACCTATTACTAGTTTGTCTAAGGATAAAATGTGAAATTTAAGTACACATATGTATGATCCAATAGAAGTGAGTTTCAAATAAAAATTCAAAAATACTTTGACAATGAATCTTAAACACTTACCAACATATCTACCTCATTCCTCAAGAATTGACATTGATCTTTGATCTTTGAGGTTTTTCCCTTGCTTATTGAGTTGCATCCTTGATAATTGAATTGCATTCTTGATCATTGAGGTTCAAGTCAACTTTTACTGCTTCTAACTTTGATCATTTGCAACTTCTGTTAGAGTTGCTATGCACAATCAACCGGATTTGATATCAGTTGTTATGGCGGAAACGCAAAATAAATAATGTTGTTCGAGGAATAATCACAAGCAATCAAATATATATATATATATATATATATATATATATATATATATATATGTACATATAAAATCACACACAAGATATACATAGTTCACCCAAATCTTAGGGCTACGTCTATGAAGCACACCGAACAAATTCACTGTAAAGAAGATGAAGAATTACAATGGAGAATTTTCTCTCAATCTCTTTCAATTGCTCTCTCTTGTATTGACACAAATTAATCAATCACACAACACGTATGATGATCCTTTCTTTTTTCTTCTCTCTATTTTACCACACCCTAAAATCTTATTAGAGTTGATATATATAGCCCCAAATAATTTTTCCTACAAGAAATTGCCTTTTGTAGAATTCAAAACCAATAAGGAAGTTAAAACAAATTAGAAAACTGAATTTTCATTAAAATTCAGCAGTCTTGAAGTTTCCATATAATTAAAATCTTCCTAAATTTTTTTCACCTAATTAGACTTCACAAATCCATAACAATTTCCCACTTGGAGGCTGGAGCACTTGTCAATCCATTCCATATTCTTCTCATGCATATCCCATGCATGTCGGTGCGCTTCTCTCTATCTTCAAGCTAGAAGACAGACTGAAGCTGTGCACAGCTTCAGTTTATCCACAGTCACTGTCTTGGTCAACATGTCAGCCTAATTCTTGGTGCTAAGTATTTTCTCAAGTGTCAATAACCCATCTTCCAACAAAGATCCGATGAAGTGATACTGAAGTCCTATACGCTTGGTCTTTAAATAAAATGTTGAATTCTTTGCTAGATGTATCGCACTTTGACTATCACTGTGCAAAACATTCTTCACCTGTTCGAATCCTAACTCTGTCAACAAACCTTGTAACCAAATCATCTCCTTGCTGGCCTCTATCATCGCCACATACTCTACCTCTGTAGGAGATAACGTTACAATCCTCTGTATTTGTGAAACCCAACTAACTGCAATTGTACCCACCATGAACACATACCCAGTAGTATTTCTTCCGTGGTCCACCTCACTAGCAAAGTTTGAATTTACATAACCACGTAACTTTACCTCACCCCTTCTGAAACATAGGCATTTATCTGTGGTACCCCGTAGATATCTCAATATCCACTTTACTACTTCCCAGTGTATCCTTCATGAACCTGCTTACTGCTCCCACTACATATGCAATGTCCAGTCATGTGCACACCATGGCATACATCAAATTTCCAATGTCTCAGACATATAGAATTTTAACCATGAAATTTTTCTCATCTTCTGTCTTCGGACACTGATCTTGAGATAATCGGAAGTGACTAGCTAAGGGAGTACTCATCGCCTTAGCATTATTCATGTTGAACCTCTTCAAAACCCGTTCAACGTACTCAGCCTGAGACAACTGCAAAGTACCTTTCTGCTTATCTCTGTTAATCCTCATCCCAAGAATTTGCTTCGCTGCACCAAGATCCTTCATCTCGAATTCACTAGACAACTGCTTCTTCAATTTGTAGATTTCTTCAAAATTAGGACCTACCACTAACATGTCATCAACATAAAGTAGAAGGATAATGAAACTTGACTTGAACCTCTTGAAGTAGCAGCAATGGTCAATGTTGCACTTGTTGTAGCTATGTTGCTTAATAAAACCATCAAACTTCATGTACCACTGCCTCGGGGCTAGCTTCAAACTATATAAGAATTTTTTCAACTTGCACACTAGTTTCTCTTTCCCTTTGACTGAGAAACCCTCCAATTGTTACATATAAATCTCCTCCTCTAGGTCACCATGGAGGAAAACAGTTTTGACATCTAACTGCTCAAGGTGCAACCCCTCTACTGCAACAATGCTAAGAACTGAGCGAATGGTACTCAATTTCATAACCCGGAAAAAAAATGTATATATAGTCAATGCCTTGCTTTTGCTGAAAGCCTTTGACCACCAATCTCGCCATGTAGCTCTTGGAACCATCATGTTCCTTTTTTACCCCATACACCAATTTGTTGTGAAGAACTTTCTTCCCTATAGGCATCTTGGCTAGTTTCTATGTTTTGTTGAAAATAAGGGACTTCATTCCATCTTCCATTGCAAGCTCTTACTTGCTAGCATCTTTAACCTGACATGTTTCATCATAACATTCAAGCTCACCATCATCTGTGAGCAACATGTAATCCATATATTTTTTATTCGATACATGAGGACTCGTAGACCTTTTGGGTGCAGGCTTAGAAGTTAGAATCTGCAGTAAACTATGCTCTGTGAGTTCTAGCCAAGAACTCTCATCTGTCTACTCCACGATAATGCTCTCTGGATCATCATCCAACTCAATAAACTTATGCTTACTCTGTACAGGACTAGTTGATTGTGCTACTTATCTATCCTTGTACATCACCTTCTCATTGAAAACCACATCTCTACTTCTGATGATTTTCTTATTGTGATTATCCCAGAGTCGATAACCAAACTCATCTCTGCCATACCCAACGAAGA